AAGAAATCAATATGTAATTGACCAGATAGTGTGTGTGAGCAAGAGCAAAGCCTCGCTTCAAGGAGACAGAGCTTTGGGCGTGAATCCCCTGACTCCCGCACTTGCTGCAAGTAAATGGACTACCTTGTGACAACCCTGTCTCATTCTTAAACAGAGCACCCCAAACGGCAAGTCCCTTGAGTTCAGTGACACACCCATGCCCTTAACTCCTAATCCAGGAGGGAAAGCTACCATAGGGGCCATCCTGGTGGGGAACACAATGTCAGGAAGCAGGCAGGCATGCCATTGCCCTGTAGGAAGCAGGAAAGGACATGGCACTTGGAGAGCACAGTTTAAAAAGCAAGGACCTATATCAGTGGCTTTCCATCTTTATGCTATAACCGAACCACCTAGAGAGTTTTAAAAATCACTCGTGACTGTATTAAGAATGGTGGATTTAAATGGTCTGAGTTTTGTATAGGATTTTTTTGTTCAAGGAACCCAGATGATTCTAATTTTCGGTCAAGGGTGAGAACCACCAGTCTAGAATAATGGTTCTCAAAATTTGCTTGCATTCGAGTATTATTTTAAGTTGGTTATTTTTAAGGAATAAAAAGCTCAAAAAAACATTTGGCCTTCTCCCCAACTGCCTAAATTTAGATAGAGGACCTGTTCCAGGAAAGGAGATATCAACATAGATAACTATAAATTAGCATGAACTAAGGTCTGATAGGGAGGAACTTGTCAAGGCCCGTTTCATCAAAGTCCTCTCAGTGTTTCATTGTTCAAGATGGCCCCGCAAACACTTATTTACCAAACTTTCGCTTTAATATTGCCTTCCTGCCCTTTGAAGTCCCAAACCTCAAGCCCCCTTCTCTTTAGCTCAAGGTGGTATATGAGTCTCAACTGGGCCCCATATTCTTATGGAACCCTCCTATGTACATTCATAATAAAGTTGGGGATTTTCTCCTGTTCATCTGTCTAGTGGTAGATGAACAGGAGAAAATCCCCAACTTTATTATGAATGTACATAGGAGGGTTGTTAGCTTAGCCAGAGAACTTCAAAAGTAGAGAGGAAAACATTTTTTCCCCTTACACAATAAGTAAGTGTCAAGTATTTAGAACAGTGCCCGCCACATAATAAGCACTCAACAGATTTTATCCTTTTCCTTCAATATCTAGTTCAATATCATCTTGTTAAGCTTCCCTTAATCCTCACACAGTTATTTATCCCTTAATTTATTTAAAATATTTGCCGAAACCGGTTTGGCTCAGTGGTGGAGCGTTGGTCTGCGGACTGAAAGGTCCCAGGTTCGATTCCGGTCAAGGGCATGTACATTGGTTGCGGGCACATCCCCGGTAGGGGGTGTGCAAGAGGCAGCTGATGGATGATTCTCTCCCATAGACATTTCTAGCTCTCTATCTCTCTCCCTTCCTCTCTGTAAAAAATCAATAAAAATATATTAAAAAAATAAAATATTTATTGAACATTTTGTATATGCTAAGCCTCAGGCTTAGGCCCTAGTTGCATAAACTCAGGAGGAGAAACAGTCAATAACAAGTAACGAAGTTGGTGATTACAAAATCTGAAGTGTGAGAGCAATGAGTAACATGAAGACTGTTTTAAAATATTTAGAATTTTTTTAATTTTATTTTTTTTCTTAATACTTGGTATGCTTTTACGGCAGGCAGTTAGACAGACGTGAGCAGAGCATGGACAGGGGCCAGGTACAGGTCACCAGGGTGGAAAGCTTTGAGTGCCTAGTGAAGGTCAAGTGTAGGATGGAACCTTTCCCCCAGGCTGACCTCCTCCCTCAGCATATCACTAGGCATGTGGTTTGGACCCTCTGACCTTTCCTCCCTGCAGATAACTACCAGGCCTAGGCCTCAGTTGTGTTTCAGCACCAGGCTCAGCAAAACAACAAAGCCAGCCAGCCACCTCCAGGCCAGTTGTATGAAATAATGATCCTCTGCCTTGATGCTCAGTGGAGGCCCAGACCCTAAAAGGATACAAGGATAAACTGCTGAATAGTCTATTAAAATCTTGCCAAAACCTGTTTGGCTCAGAGGTAGAATGTCGGTCTGCGGACTGAAAGGTCCCAGGTTCGATTCCGGTCAAGGGCATGTACCTTGGTTGTGGGCACATCCCTGGTAGGGGGTGTGCAAGAGGCAGCTGGTTGATGTTTCTCTCTCATCGACGTTTCTAGCTCTCTATCCCTCTCCCTTCCTCACTGTAAAAAATCAATAAAATATATTTAAATATAAATAAAAATTTTAAAAAAAGTATATTTAAAAAAAAAAATCTTTCCCTGGATCGTTCCTTGAAATCTCCACCCTTAAAAGTCTTGGGCCCTGGCTCATGCTCCTTAGTGGTTAGAGTGTTAGCTCACCCACCAAAGGATCATGGGTTCAATTCCCCATCAAGGGTACCTACCTGAATTACAGGTTCCATTCCTAGCCTGGTTGGAACATGTGTCACTCTCACATGGATGTTTCTCTCTCTCTCCTCCATCCCTTGTCCTGTATCTAAAATCAATGGAAATACATCCTTAGGTGAGGATTAACAAAACAAAAAAGACACTGAATACTGAAAGGATAGTTTTTTTAATTTGAAAAAATATGCCCCAAAACTATTGATAGTTTGCTTTATTTTATACTTCTGTAATGTCTGAAGGTTGAATAGAATATATATTACTTTTATATTCAGAAAAAAAAACCACCTAAAATTTGGAATATACTGAGGGGGGTGTATATAATTAAAGTAAAACACCTTAAAATTTTAGGAACCTCTTTTTTTGTTTTGTTTTTTGTTCCAAAGGTAATCTGATATGACAATTTCATTAATCCTCATCACCTTCCTCTAGTTTGGATACTTGAAAATCTCTGACTGCTTGCCAGCAGTCACTGGAGCCAACCACATAATGCAACTCTGAGACAGGGAGGGCAAGTTTCATAATACTGTAGTCTGCCAAACACCTCTGTGGATCCACCCTACTCTTCTTACTTTGCAAAAGCTGGACTAAAAACTAACTAAAAAATAAACAAACTTAAGATAAAAATTAAACTTAAAACCTTCATAGACATTTAACCTTTTTCATAAAAATTTACACTGAATTTACCATTTAACCCCAACTCACCTAAAGACTAGATATTCATGATTTAGTTAATAAATAACTGCTTTTCCATTGTAACATGATGCTAAGAGTAACTCTGTGTGGCTTTTTACTTCTCAATCTCTGTTTGAAAGTACTAGTACCCAGTGAGTATGACTTATTTCAAGCAAAGTTTTTCAATCACGAAAAAATATTTCAAAAAAATACTTAAATTTCTTCTTAGAATGAATAGCTAGTTATTGCTTTTAAATTGTCATTGGTTTCTGACACTGGATTAAATTATTTATCTTAATACCTCAAATTATGAAAAATGGGGGATCAAAATATCACAAACACTCCGACATGGGTACCCCCAGACCACTCCCGGGAGCGCTGTTCAGGCAGCTCAGAGGGGCACAGGCCTGTGCCCCATGACGTAGGGTCCCTTGTCTGCAAGGTGGGAGAGAAAGCTGGGCGGCCTCCTACAGCTCCTCGGAGTCCCATGGACAATGACTGTGGACACAAACCAGGCAGGAAGCATCTGTGGGAGGGTGGGGGGTGGGGGTGGGGCAGAGTCACAAACACAAAAAGAGCCTTATTAAGTTGCTTTGTTTAATTTGAATTTTAAGAAACAGAATGTTCTTGTTTTTTAGAGATTAACTCAAAACACACCGACCTTGTTTACTTGGAGCTCACGAGCTATCTGGTTGGCATCCAGTGACCTGCCAAGAGTATAACTAAGCCGGCATTAAGGCCCCAACCAGCAGTCTGTAGTATCACCAGAAGCTTGGCATTTCCAATCCAGCTCTAAGCCGAAGCTTCTAATGGCGTGGCAGAGCGCCAGGCCTCCAGACCTTCAGGTTTATGGGCGAGGGAGAGTGCGGGTATGAAAGCTAGTAGTCAGGAGGCTTATACAGGAGATTCATTCACAGTGAAGAGTCCTGGCAGAAAGCACAGAAGCACGGTGGAACGTTGAAGAACCAAAATAAATTTTGCCACGGTAGAAACAGCAAGACGAAACCATTTTCTGAAGACGTGGTCTAATTTTTGAGGGAAAATTGAGGAAACTTTGAGCAGGAGAGTATAATTGTATAAATTTGGTAGGAGGGTTGTTAAGTCACTTCGGGGTTTTGAAAATAATCAGGCTTGGGTACTTGTTTTTCAACCAGATCCATTTAATCATTCAAGGTTTCCAAATTAGAGTAGAATTTATACTGACATAGGAACCTTAATTATATGTAATTGTTTATTTCCAGGCTGTTTATAGTCAAATTTGAGATAGGTATTGATTACTAGGACCATCGATAGAAGAAGGAAAAAAAAGTTGGAGGAAGTAGCCAGTCATTTGTCCTTAGCTTCTGCCAGCCTCATCTCCCCACCCCCACAGACTGTTGTATCACCTGAAAAAGCAGATTCTCAGAACATTTTCCTCTCCTGACACTGCGTAGCCTGCTCCATCAGGCCTCCCTTGGGCTTCAGGGAGACCTGAGACCTTCCTGCCCCGCCCTGGCCTTCGTGTGGTGCAGAATGAGGGCAAGTTCTAGCCCATGAGCCAGGACTGCACAGACTCTGATAGCCTCCCCCTCATCCCTTACCTCTCCTTCCTTATTTAAGCCGCTCTGGATGCAATGGAAAAAAACAAGGAGCAAGAAGTGAAAAAGCCCTGCTGAGCAGAAAAGGGAGGGAACTTCCTGAGCGCAGGCAAAGTTAGGGCAAAACTATAAAATGACTCTGTTACGCAGGGTTATCAAAACGCCCAGGAGCTCTTGGACTTAAGTTCAGAACCAGCTCTTGGATTTTCAGAGAATCGAAGCTTTAAAGTTTTCTAGGTCAAGTCCCAGAGACTGTGATGCACACTTTGATTTGTTTGTCCTGTCTACAGGGAAGCCGATAATACAACTTTAGAAGTTATATCACTGGATACAAATATTAAGTCACCTGGATTTTGTTATATATAGTTTTGTTTGCAATTATCCTGATAACATCTGCTGGAGAGAGACAGGAAATCTATCTCAGGAGGATAAAATCATTTTTGTGGTTTTTTCTCATAACACTCTCTTCCAATCTCTATATATTTTCTTCATAAGCAGATCTGTGCATAGAAAAAAAAAGGGGGGGGGCATAAGAACAAAGTCAAATAAATATTAAACTTTCTTGTAGTTTTTGAACAATTAAAGAGCAGTGGAGAGAGAGGCAAACAGTAATTTAATGCTCTTGTACCTAAAAAGCCCACATTTTTATATGCCCTTCTCCCAGCTCCCATACCTCAAGGAAGATAATGTATCACATTCCCCTCCCCCCTAATCCAGTGATATGGTCTACTTGTGTTCAAGTTTCTTTTGTTTCCCCATTCTAGTTATGATAATCTTTACAACCTATAATGTTCCCACAGGAGGAAGAGCATTTAATAAACCCAGACTAAAACTGAAATCTCCCTAGATTCCTTTTAGAAATTTATATATATCAATAAATATTCTAACACTTGCCCGTTATTTCAAAACCACTAATTTCAGCAGATATAAATGTACATATACAAACATAATAGGTTTTCTTTTCAGAAATCTCCTTATTTCAACAGTCATTTAATGAAACTATCAAACTTAACAGTTTTAGATTTTTAAGAAAACATATTTTATTGATATTTTACAGAGAGGAGGAAGGGAGAGAGAGAGCTAGAAACGTCGATGAGAGAGAAACATCGACCAGCTGCCTCTTGCACAACCCCTATTGGGGATGTGCCTGCAACTAATGTACATGCCCTTGACCGGAATCGAACCTGGGACCTTTCAGTCCACAAACCGATGCTCTCCCACTGAGCCAAACCGGTTTCGGCCAAATCTAACAGTTTTAATAAGATGTTGATAATATTTCTCTCCATTTAACTTATTAAAATGAAATAAAAACAATATGCTATAAAGAAAAACTTGGGGTGGGGGAGACAGTTGTTAGAGAACCAAGAAACTAGGTAATTTTTTTTTTTAATGAGTCACCTGAAATCCTGATAAGGATGGTTTTGTGAAAATATGCTACTCTTAGTCTGAAATACTATGGATTTGCAGACATCTACACTAAAGGCCATTTCAGTAACATTGAAGTTATAACATCATTTTCCCTGGCTATAGATAAGGTCATTTTTTAATGTATTCATTACCTATTAATATGTAAGAAATTACCATACAACCTAGTGGCCTACATTTATCTCACAGTTTTTGTAGTTCAGGAATCCAGAGGCAGCTTGGCTGGGTACCCTGGCCCAGGTCTCTCACAAGACAAGTTCTTCAAATTTCCACCGTGCCTTTGTGCTTTCTGTCAGGTCTGTTCATCATGAATGAATCTCCTGTATATCTCTCCTGAGTACAACCTTTCATACTCTCCCTCTCCCATAACCCAGGGTCTGGACCTCTGCCACTCACCTCTGCCAGAGTCAAGGCGATGGCCAAGGCTGTTTTCATCTCAAGGCTCAACCAGGGGAGAATTAGATGCCAAGTTCACTGACATAGATGTCAGCAGGATTCAGTTCCTGATTGGCCTTGCTTATTACATTGGACTCTCTATAGAGCAGGGCACCCATAACTTGCTGCATCACAACAAGCAAGCAAGAAGTGTGAAAGTTGGGGGTGGAGGGGTGGAGAGAGAGAGAGAGAGAGAGAGAGAGAGAGAGAGAGAGAGAGAGAGAGAGAGAGAGAGAAGCAAAATGGAAGTCAGTCTTTTATAAACTAATTTCAAAAGTGACATCCCATTACTTTTGCCATATTCTATTCTTTTAAATCAAGTCACTAGATTTAGTCCTCACTCAAATAAGACTGCACAAAATGTGGGAATACTAGGAGGCAAGGATCTTTGAGAACCATTGTAAGGACTGCCTACCACATCTGATATAGGAAATTTTTATAACTCCTGGCCTTTTTGAGATAGCAACATTTTTGGATAACCATTTTCAAAAGTTGAAAGTTTTAGAAGAGGGTAAAGGGAATCAAATACAAGGTGACAACAAATGACTAGACTTCAAGCAGGGAGCACACAATAGTGTATCCACATGTTGTATTTTAAAGTTGTACATCTGAATATGATATTAACCAAGGATACCCTAATAAATTTAATAATAAAAAAGTGGACTTACCATAATTTTAAAATGCGTTCTATTTTTTTATTCTGAATATTGAGAAAAAAATTTTTCAGGAAGTAATTTCTTTTATACATTTTAAAAATAAGTACCTACTTTTAACTTATTAATGATATATATTGATATATCTAAAACACTTTTTTGGCTAAATAAAGTTAAGGAGAGTTAGAGGGGGGAAATCAAATAAATAATATATTTTTATCAAAATATATTTCAATTTTGAGCTAGATAATATAAGCTCCTTGACACATGGATCATATAATAAGTCCATTTTACAAATAAAATAAAGGGCATTTATAGATGGGCATTAAAATTGTTTCCAAAAAAATAAGCAAATCCACAAAAATGTCTAGTCAATTCTTCGAAAAAAGGTTTCCCTTCTCCATTACAGTCTCAACAAAATATTTTTGTATATTTGTTGATGTCAAAACTTGAAGTGTCTGTGCATTTTTCTGTGGAGGGAGTTAATAGCATCCATGAGATTTTCAAAACACAAAGTATCGTTATTGTATACAACAATAATTTCGGCGCTGAATTCCCATACTGTCTCATAAGTTTGCTTCATATATCCAAAAGATAAAAGCAAAGCAAAATTTAATGGATTTTCTTTTAAACTGTCCATTTTATCAGTTTAACTAGTGTTGAACTCACACTCATTCGATAGATATTTATTCAGTATACTAGATGCCATCAAAAGTTACAAGCAATGGAAATACAAGTCCCATTCTCAAGGAGCTCACACGTCTGGGGGTAAATGGTAGCAGACAATAAAGACAGTAACGTATACAATACTGAGTGTGCTAAGTGCTGTGAAGAAAATAAGCAGGATATATTTCTGAGTTCTTCAAAGCTTTAATGGGAATATACACACACCTTCAATCAGCCCCTTTGGTCTTGCATGAAAGCTTTTAATGTCAGTATAACGCACTCAGTCAAGTCCAGCAAATATTTATCTAGCACTTACTATTGGCTAGGTCAGTGGTCGGCAAACTCATTAGTCAACAGAGCGAAATATCAACAGTACAACAATCGAAATTTCTTTGAGAGCCAATTTTTTTAAACTTAAACTTCTTCTAATGGCACTTCTTCAAAATAGACTCACCCAGGCCTTGGTATTTTGTGGAAAAGCCACACTCAAGGGGCCAGAGAGCCTCATGGGGCTCGCGAGCCGCAGTTTGCCAACCATGGGGCTAGATGATGAGGTGAACAAGCTACTCAGAGAAGTTTACTGTCTGGGCATGGAAGGTCCCTAGACACCCTCTGGGCTGAGTCAGGGGTTCCCCTCTGTGACCACATAATAACCCGGGCACACATTTATTGTGTTTACCTTCAAATCACATCTAAGTGTCTCTCTTTCGTACTTGACTGCAAGCTCTTTGACAGCCAGGCCTACACTTTATTAATCTTTGAATCCCTAGTGCTTGGGGCTTAGTGGTTGTTGACCTGCATGTGAAGAGATAGGCTAACTGAGAGATTGAGTGTGCCCAGGACTTTTCTCTGACTTCATCTTGAGCAGTAAGATTCAGAATGACATTTTTCTCTTAGGTTGCAGTTCAAAACAACGAATATTATTGATATGAAATCTGACATGGTATAAAAAATGTTTTAATCAAGATCATATGCATTCTTTCCAAGGAAAACTAGTTAGCAACACATTGCCATGTTTTATCCAGCAAAGAAATCATTCTTCTTTTTCAGATTCCTCCCTCCTTCTGGCCCTGGGCCCATGTAACAGCTCCACACCACACGTTCAGTCTCCATTCTTGCTCTGAGATGAGAAGTGACCTGGAGAAGTGGAGGGAGGAGTACCATGCTGTGAAGGTGATGAGTCCTAAGTTTTAGGCTACATTTCCAAAAAAGTCATTCAAAGGTCAGGTCCCATATATATATATATATATATATATATATATATATATATATATATAAATTTAAATTAAACTGAACTTCTCACGGTCAGTGTGTTCTTTGTATATATTGTATCAGAAACAATTATATCATGTAACCATTTCTTTCCGAAAAAAGCCTAATTCTCTGTACACACCCAGCAAAATGTATGTTTTTTTATTCTCAATTTTTCTCAAAGGCAAATGCTTTCCCACACTCAGACATGCATTAATGGTCCTTTGAGTATTCATTTTATGCCAAATTTCAGAGTTATAAGTCTAAACGATTTTGTTTATTTTTTTAAAACATGCATTATAGCAGAAAAAGAATATTTTTTTTCATGCTTGACTGACTCAATTAGTCATTATTTCTATGAATTCTTGAGAAATTGCTTTTAAACTAAGAAGTAGAAGGAGAAATTTCATCAGAAAATTCTATTTTTTGAGAATATAACAAATATGAAGACATGGAATCAAAAGCCTTCATCCTTTACCATATTAATACAACTATCGTATGTCACTGTTGCCAGGAAAGAAGTTTGGGTTTAAACTAACAATTTTAATAATAAATTAATAGCTCTGTATCACCCTGGAGGGAAATCTTTAATAGAAGTAGGGCTCTATCCTTATCTTTATTTTTTAGTGCTCATCAACTTTTTAGATGAAAATGTAAAAGGCATAACCTTTTTTAAAGTATTGATATGCATTTTTATAACTTTTCTCCTAGTTATAAAAATTGCACATGCTTAATACAGGTAATTTAGAAGACACAGGTAAGTATCCTCCATAGTAATATGAGTTTTCTTTCTTATGGGATAATTATACCTCACTAATGTCGTTAAGCCAAGGCTAGATGATCATCTATCCAGGAGCTAAATTATGCTAAAGAAAGGATTCTTGAACTGAGTGGGATATTGGACTATATCCAGCTCTGAGATTGAGTGATTCCATGGTAGAAGTGATTCCATTCATAATTGGAACCAGTTCTGTAACTGTTTATTTTGGAACTAACAAAGAAGAAAGAAAACTTTTTCTAAAAATGTTGCTTGGAACCCAAGAATGTGAATTTACACAATTGTTGAGACATTATCCTTTAATCCTAGCTGGATGGTGTGGAAGGTGCACACAGAAGTACACTTGTGTTTCAAATGCAACAGCTCCTATAGTCCACAAGTAAAAAATAAAAACAAAACTTTCAAACTATAAAGTAAGCAAATTGCACATTGGATTGGGGTGATAATTGGGCGAGTGTCAAAGTATCCTATATAATAAAAGGCTAATATGCAAATCAATCAGACAGCAGAATGACTGGTTGCTGTGACACCCATTGACCACCAAGGGGCAGATGCTCAACTGCCTTCATGGCAGGGCTAAGGATGTCCAAACTGTCAGCCGGACATCCTCCAAGGGTTCCCGGACTATGAAAGGGTGCAGGCTGGCTGAGGGATAACACCCCCCCCTCCTTGCCCTGAGTGCACCGGGCCTCTAATCTATCTACATATATATATATATATATATGTGTGTGTGTGTGTGTGTGTGTGTATATATATATATATATATATATATATATATATATATATGGCTAATATGCTAAGTGTCCCTCTGTCCTATCATCACTATGATGTGCACTGACTACCATGGGGAAGATGCTCAATGCAGGAGTTGCCGTGATGCACACTGGCCATTTTCAAAGAAATGGCACCATGGACCTGGCACCAACAAAGCAACACTTGGCTTCTCCCAAGTGGGACACAGGCCTCGCCACCACCCCGGAGCGACAGCCCACCAAATTGCACCCAACACTGTTGAGACCCCATGGTGCAAAATGCGGCCCACAGCTCATATTATATATATATATATTAGGCTAAGTTGACTCATGCATGTATGATATATATAAAGCTCTCGCTGGCGCCAATTGCATGCATGTGTTTCGATCTGTCATTGTTGATTGTAAATTTGATTGACACTTGTATTATAGAGAAAGGGTGAATAGTGATATTAAACTGTTTCTTCTAATTAACTTCCATTCATTGTGCACGAATCCATGCACTGGGCCACTAGTAGTTTATATAACGAACTCTGGAAAGGAGCCAAATAATGGATTGGGAGTGAAACCCAGATATTGGCAATGTCCCAGGAGTCATGGTTGGAAAGAATTAATCTACCTACTCGTATTTCCCCGAAAATAAGACATCCTCCAAAAATAAGACCTAGTGCATGGAAAGATAAGACATCCCCTGAAAATAAGACCTAACTCAACTTTGGGAGAAAAAATTAATATAAGACACTGTTTTATTTTTGGGGAAACAGGGTATTAGAGTATTAATTTTTATAGGGTAAACTGATACAAATCACCTCAAAATGAAAATGTTATTTTAAAGCTGCCCATCACCTTGCATCTTGAATACTTTTAAAATCATATTTGCATGATATGATTCTAAATATATTTAGAATTTTTTAAATTAATCACTGAAGGGGTCAATGTAAACAAGATACTCGTGAGCAACTTGTTAACCAGAAATGTTTACTTCAGAAAGTAGTTACATTTGAATATGTGAATAAAAT